ACACTTTTTCATAGTTAATTCATTTATATTTTTGGCCAAGGAGAAATGTCCCTATTGATTTTTTGTGTTGTTTGACGCTCCCAGGCATATGGTTTTGATTTTTTTTTTTGTAATATGAGTTTCCTGCAGAACTTTACACAAAAAGGATATTTGAGTTGCTGGTTTCTGCATATTCTACAATCAGCACACATGATACAGCTCTTTTCCTTGGACTGAATGCCAGTGATGCTGCAAACTGTAACCTCTCACCCTTTCTCATATGGCTTATAACACTAACTTACATTTAAAGCATGATACTTGTTTTAATGTTTCAAGGTGAATATCTTCCTATCGAGAATGAAAACTTTTGATACTTGTTTTGATGTTGCAAGGTGAATAATGAATATATTCCTATCGAGAATGAAAACTTTGTAAATACTAAATCATGACTACCTTATTATTTAGTTTTTGGATTGGTGGGGCTCAGTGGGGTGGAAGAATTAGATGAAGTAAATTTATAACGATTGATGATGAGATAGAATTCTAGTGTCACCATTGATATTCTCCAACATGTATATAATCATCATTTTTCCCATCTCCGTGGAAATGTAATTTTTAATTCTTCTAGTGGGTCTTCAGTTGTCCTCCTCAACTCTTAGCAACTTTTTAACTGTTGAAAGATGGCATGGCAGTCAGCTGGCTATTACATGAATTTGGTGGAATGAAACTTAATTCTACTGCTAATTCGTGTTAACCTCTTGTCGGTTGCTTGCAGATGCACTAGAACGAGGTTGGACGTTGGATCACGCCTCGAAAATGCTAACAGTGAAGAAGCAGGTTGTTGCAACAGAGCAGAAACTAGATTCGAGTAAATTACAGCGCTTGACAGAATATGTTTTCCACCTTGAACATTAATCCTTAATACTCAGATGCTTATAACATTAGGTTCGGTCAGCTCTCTGATGGTGTTAAAGGATGTCAAGTTTTTGTTCCAAAATCTTGATTTGTTTATCAGTCTTCAATGTTATCATTGATCAAGCCGACATGCTCTTACTTGGATACAAGGCATTGAATGGCTTGAGATGGAGACTCGATGTGATTAGTAGATTTCATTTTCACTTCAAATGTATTTTTTCGATGGCCGGCCTAGGGTGTTGCAATTTCTAGTTTGTGCTGTGACTAAGATATTAATACGTTGCAATCGTGACCGGGAAAAAAACAAAATAGTGTTCGAAGGTCCAAATAAACAGAAAACAACTAGGAATATCGACTGGGGCACCTTGTTCTTGAAACAATGTAATACGTGATCTAACGTCAGCTTTTTGGTCTTGTTGGAAAAAAGCTATTATAGCTCAGCATCACTGTACTACGACTGTCAAAGCTAATACCAAGGACTGTCACTATGCATATTTGATTTGATATACTAGAATAGTCTGAAATTCTTGTAATGTGTCTTATTCCAAGCTCTTATTAAAGTCACATCAAAATTTTTATCCTCATTCTTCTATTCATTTTTAATCAAATATTATTCAATAAAATAATATTTTTCATCACATTAATAACTTTTCATTCTTTTTCAACCATACATTTTTCAATAAAATAATATTTTTTATCGCATCCTTAACTTTTTATTATTTTTCAATTATACATTTTTATCAATCTACTATTTCAAAATATATTCTTCCAAAGCAATGTGGCTCAAACACACCCCAAACTTGAAATGGTTGCTACACAAGTTGAAGGAAATTATATTTTGTTAGAAAAAAAAAAAGTACATAAAAATATACTACATTCATTGAGAGTCCTTTATAATTTTCTTATAATGAAAAAGGATCGTAGGAACTTTGCAGATGAGAAATAAGTAGTAATTGTAAATATGTGGTTAAAATTGAAGTTTAACTAGAGATTATATGCAACTTTTGACTGAAACTCAAACATGGCTAAATTTGTAATAAGAGGTAGGCAGTGATTCAATATTTAGGACGTGTCTGGTGCTGATTCTTTATCAATTTAAAATTGAAACATTGACCGTTGTTTTGTCAAGGTAGACCCTACCTCTGAGATGAATGGTCAAAAAAGATAACCTGATTTTAGACATAACCGCTATGAAATCAATTTTTTTGTTTCAAAAAGCAGGCACACACAGGCCCTTAGCCCCTGTTGGTGGGGATTAAAGTAATATATTTCATGGCTTTTAATAAAAGTTGATAATGTGTAGTTAAAATTATTTGTTGACTTTGACTTAAATTAGAATCTGAATTTTAATTTTCACCAAAAATGGCTTAATATAATTTGAAAGATGGTACCCGATGGAGGTGGAATGGTTAAAAATATATTACAGAGTAAATTATAAAGATGACAAATGGAGTTAAAGTGCTTCTTTGGAAAACTTTAAAGCTGTTAAAAACTAAAGATTAAACTCAATAATTAATTTTAGTTACATATCTTATTATGAGATCGCAACTTTTATTAATTTTTAAATCATACATTTTACCAATTTTCATAAAAATCTATCGAATTTCTTATCAAGATTTTTTTGTCAAACAACCTCTAAATATACTCGCTCTAACCCCACCTTGCACTGCATGCAAGATTAATCATTCTCAACTTCAACATGCTAACTTTTTTTTTTTTTTTTCAAAAAAAAGTTGTAGATTCTGCAAATGGATGAGAGAATTAACTCGTTTTTTGGATATTAGCTCTTCAAGTAAATAAATTAAAAACGAATCAGTTTGAGTAAATTACAGCTTCTGTTTGACAATTTCCATTCTTATAGTATCAAAACGAAGAGAGAGACGATTGATCTTGACGAAGCTAGCTTTATGTTATCTAAATATCAATAAAAATTTATATGCAAAAAGAGAAACAAAGAAAAAACACAGAGCTTGTTTGGTTAGCTTCACACGCAATTATTTATTTTTCCAGTTTGTTCATCTTCTGTAAATTTTCTTACAGCACTTCTCTCATCCTAAAAGAAAAGCCAGAGAAAAGAGAGAGAGGAAATCTTCTATTGGTCTTGAAAAGAGGAAACTTTCAATTCCTGAATTTCTTCATGATGATCACGGGCTTCTTCGCAACGTTGTATAGATCAACAATGGATCTATATCTCCTCTTTCTTTTGGGGTACGCCTTCAGTACTCTGATAAAGATGGATGAAATTTCATTAGAATCCCCTACGCTTTCCTCTCGGTGTTGCTCCACCGATTTGGTGGCGTCGCCGCCGTGGTTTTCTTTGCTGTAGTCGGAATCGCCGCTGAGTTGAATCAGCTGCAAGGCCGCATCCAATTCCGTGTTGGAGAGCATTTGGGTTTTCCTGCTCTTTCTTGCAGATGGAGATTTCTTCTTCATTGAATTTTCAGCTCTCTCTATGGAAAGAGAAACTTGTGGAATAGTTAAAAATAATTGAAGTATAAGGATTTTTTTTGTTAACAAATGGAATGGGACATGAAAAGGACTTTTTTTTCTATAGGTTTCATATTTTTATTTTATTTGGCATGACAAAAATATCTGGAATGAATTTCTTGGCATTAGATTTTTCTTAGGGTAAAACGGTAATTTGAATTCCCTTCAAAATCACACGACACGACACGACACAGAATGGTATTCGACGTCGACACGACTTCTTGCATGGAAGGGTATATAAGATCAATCATTTTGAACCGCACTACCAAAGAATAAGACTATAAGCACTTTTAAAGATGGAGAAAATTAGCCCCTATTTAGTATATAATAATTCAAAGTTAAAAATTAATTTTAATCACGTATTTTATTGGATTCATCACTTTTGAACTACACATTTCATCAATTTTTATCAGAATATAAGATTTTTAATAAAACTACTTAAATTTAAAATTGCACTGAAGGAAGTGAAAAAGAAACTTGGGAATATGGTGTCAACAATTCATGTATTGCATGGATGGCATTATAAAACCTGTTTTTAGGCATGCCAACTTTGTGCTGGTCTACCCCGGGAGGTATTCCCATGTCAAATATTACGATTATATGAGTTCGTCACGTGATTAGCCAATTTTTTTATAGGTGGCAAGACAAAATTGTGAACAATTGAGAATATGACCTATATTATCAAAAAGTGCATTAAAAATAGCGGAAATTACACAAAATCGGAATTTTAAATATTCAATTTCAGATGTCAGATTTAAATAATTTCTTTTCAAAAATCAGATAATTATTCATCTTTCAATATTAGTAATAATATTATAAAACTAAAAATTAATTTATATACACCCCCCCCTAGTGTTGGCTGGGTGGAGGGGGCTATGATGCATGGTTGTGGTGGCTGGTTGGTGTTGGCGACGACGACGACGGAGTAATTCCAGGTGGTTCGCCTTCTCTTTCTTTCGTCTTTGTGTTTACATTCTTCTCTCGCTTTCCTGCGCTTCTCTTTGTGCCGTGATTGTGGCGACAGAAATGGAATGGTTTTGTTAAATCTAGTGGTGGCGGTGGTGGTCATTTTTGTTGGTAGCTGTAATGGTGCTGTGTGCCGTGGCCTGGACCTGCAGCTCTGAGATTTGATGTGAAATTTTGGTTATGTTTTCAACTGGTGGATGGGGGCTGTGGTGGTGGTGGTGCTTGTGATGGTGGCGTTTGGGTGACAGTGACTTAGTTGGATCCAACGATGGCGGAGGTTGTGTTGAATGTGATGGTGCTTGTGGTTTTTTTTTGGTGGTGGTGGATCTTGGTAATGGTGGTGTTGAGATGGTGGCGACGGGTCTGTCGGGGTGGTGGTGGATCGATGCGACTACGTAATGATGTTTTCAGCGATGTGTTGATTTGTTTGAGATGGTGTTGCTATCGCGAGGTTCTGGTTCTGGCAGAGACGGTGTCGACAGTGCTGCTGGGAGGGAGTTGTGCAGTGGTGGTCACAAGTGTTGGTTGTGGTCACAAATTATTTGGTTGATTGTGACCATTAAATTGGTTGATTTGTAACCAATAAATAATATGTGACCAATGAAAAAGATAAATTAGATAAATTGTGACAAAAAATAATATTTGACCTAAAAACTGTTAATTTGTAATCGATAATTTGATAATTTGTGACTGTCTACTAAGTTGTGACTTATAATATTTGTAATTTGTGTTCTATAAATAAATTGTGACGTTTCAATTTTTAATTTGTGGTCGTCGAACAAATTGTGATTTACAAATTTTTTGAATTGTAACAGTAAAATAATTTTTAACATATAAAATTTGTGATTTGTGAGCAATGAATAATAGGTGACTTATTAATTTGATAGATTTGAGACCAATGAACAAATTGTGCTATAAAATTTTTGAATTGTGATCGTAAAATAATTTGTGACCTAAAGTACAGCCCCTCCTCAAACCATCGCACCACCGTCGTACAACGCACCACCATATCTTCAGACAACACCACCGCACCAACAATAACAATTCTCTTACACATTTTTATCTCTATCTTCTTTTTAATCACAAGTTTTTCAATAAATAAATATTACACGTAAATCGAAAATTTTTCTTCCTTTTCAACTATTTATTCTCCAAAAAATACTATTCCAAAAATTATAATACTAAATAATGGGGGTCAAACGGGGTCTAAGAAAAAAAAAAACTATCTAATGCAAATTGCTATATATTTTAAACCAAGGAAAGAAAGTTGCATTCTTAATACGAACAGACTCTTGAATCAGTGTTAATTAACAAACGAAAATCATGTCAAAATATACAAATTAGAAAAGAACTAACAAATTTTTTTAATGATATCAAGAAGTCAGTAACTTACCAACGAAGCAAAGCAAATCGAAAGATTGGTGCAGTGCAGAAAAGAGCAAACGCGTATGCATGGATTAATTCAAGATTAACGTAACATTATTTACCCTTTCATTTACAGTAATTAAGTACCCTTCTCGATTTTCTGGGGGGCGATGCCCAGTAATTTACGCTTCAAAACCAAAATTAATCCATCGCTGATAATGAGAGAACAAGTCCAGAAAATAATAAGTAAATACCGGAGAGCTAAATCCATCAAGTCGAGCTAATGAAGCTATATTTCCATCATTTAGCCTTACATATTCAATCAGATCATCAAAAACTTATGGGCGTCTTCGTTTCTTGGCTTGCTTGTGACCCATCAAAGGCTTTGTATTTCTGTAAATATCAATAATAGACCTAAACCTTCTTTTCTTTCGGGGCAAAGCGTCTTCTGGGTCGGACGATTCTCCCGCACGTTCTTTGACCTTTTCTTCTTCTTGTTTCTGTGGGAAATTTCGCATACAAACACTATTACAAGAGCCTTTGGTATCACGCAATATTAGAGAAGACTTAACTTCTAACCGCAAAACTGCGTCCAGTTCTTCATCGTTCAGTCCCCAATTCATCTGTCTTCTTCTAATCTATACAATGGAGTCGGTGTGGGATTTTGTGTATATTGTAGCTGAAGTGGGGTCTGGGAGAGGACTGGTAAAGGATGTTGTGAGGAGAATGAATTGGAAGGTTTTTATAGTGAAATCACCGCCTTAGGATTAATACTTTTAAGTAATCAAAATCCATCTCACTGGGAGAAGGATTCCTATGGAAAGCCTGACCGGGCCCAATTATTAGTTGGGCCGAGTTTGTTGTGTGAGCTATATCGGGTGATATTCGGATCATTAAAACGGATTCATATATCAGGTATAAAGTATGGGAAAAATTCATATATCAGGTATAAAGTTTATACCAATTCAAAAATCATGTTTATAGTTTGAAAATTCAAAAATCAGGTTCTTATTTAATTCTAATATAATATAATATAATAAACTCACCCCACATGCACCACCTCTATCGCTTCAGGGGACTATTCCGGCGATCATTCCGACCACCACTCTTCTCTGATT